AGATAAAGGTGTGGAAGGGAACAAGCTTCAAGAAACTGTCCCCTTGGGTGAGTGGGGAAAACAATTTTGTTACATGGGATCGGTGGATCCACAGTTGCTGCCAGCTCCCTGTGCAAGGGATTGACGAGCATGGCTGTTAGAAAGCAGCCTTCCCAGAAGGCACACGATCTGGGAGCTGACTGACTGTCCAGGCACTAGTTCTGAGTGTTCATATCCAGAGTTCTCTCGATCTCCACTCTTCGTGGCAGTGAAGACACAGGCGAGCCAATCCAGCAAAAAAACACCGGCTTCAATAAATCGATGTTCTACCCTCCTGCACCGCACCCCCTCCGGTGTCCCACCGGCATCCCAATCCCAGATGTTCCGCGCTCCAAATTCTGGATCCCCAGGAAGCAAGGCCATTACAGGTACCAATTGCCTTTCTACCATCAGCTTTCTTAACTGCTTAGTGTCCAGTCCCACCCTGAGTTGGCTTTTGACCCTTCCTGGACTCAGTCTGCTCCATCCATGACTGTCCCAGAAAAGCTAGTCGCAGAAGCAGTGGAGAGGACTAGATCATTTGGCACATTATAAATAGAAATTTAGATCAGCAGTAGGTCTTTATAGCCTTTTCCCAGTGACAAGTTGGGTTTTTTTTAAGCATCATGCTAACCACGAGGTACAAAAGACCCTGTTTCAAATCCTGGTGTCACAAACTGAGGAGAGTTTCCTGACAAGGATTGATGTAGTGGTTTGTCAGGTACGGGGATTTTTGTTTGGTTTTCAGCTTTGTTTGGCATTTAGTGTTTGCTTCCCTCAAGGCAATATCTTCAGGGTTAGGCCTGAGGAAGTGAACTGGAGTCCAGGTGGTTTCACAGTGCTCCACTCCCCACAGGAACCACTGAGAGATAAGCTGGGCTCCAGCAGAAAAATTAATGGCACAGAACCATTACAGAAGTGTTAGAAGACTCAAGTTAAGGTTGATCCTCCCATAGTCCCCATTTCCTCCTTCCAGACAAGATCAAACATTAAAAAAAAAGAGAAAAGATAAAAAAAAAGAATGCAAAGAGCACTGAAAAATAACTATTAATAAGTAGGATGTGAGACATAGCATTCCTATGTCCAGGCAGCAGAGAAGCAGTCTCTTAAATCCGTGGGATTGGTAGGTACATGTTCCATCTCAGTGCAGAAGAAGGGCTGGTTAAGCAGATGGTGTTTAAATCATCATGAAACATCTGGCGTGGCCAGAAGCCGAGTAGCAGAGGTGGCTGTGGTGGCTCTCCAGGCCACAGGATGCTGAACAAGGATGCTTTTTGTTAGATGACACGCACATCTGCAGCTACCAGATGTTAAAGTGAGTGAGTCTTCTTACAATGAGCCCTGAGATTCCATGTTGCTATGAACCTATTAAACATTTAGATGATTTTATTACTAATTCGAGGTCCATTGAGTTCAACCAAGTTAGGAGTTAAATGAAATATTTTTCGTTATTTGCTTAAACTTGCAACAACTTCTTCCAGTTTCATGTCTCTTATGAAAGTGGAAAAACTGGAGCCTTCCTGGGTCAGAGGCCAGATTCATCTGAGCTTTAACTGGAAGATGTTTATTTTAAAAGCACTTTTTCCCCCCACCTCTCTAACGAAGTGTGTGTCAGTACCTTTGGTTAAAGCTTTGAGCTGTTCTCTTCCTGTACGGAGGAAGGAATCACATGATGCTTGAGCCTGGTAGATTGATCTTCTCACATCAGTCTGGGGATTCCACCCCGTCTATCTGGTGGCATCATTTCCATGATGTGTCTTGTACAAATGCAATCTGAGCGGCTTCTTGAGCTTCTGGTGCAAACACATTGACCATGGCACCTATCAGGAAGACAGTCTCCAGAAGGGATGCCTTCCGAGTGTTGCAGTTAGAGGTGTTCCACGTGGGCCTGGGTAGGTAGAGGGTGGAGTACCACTCCACTGCCACTGTGCACAGACGCTTAGTAGAGTAGCACTTAATTACTCTGCATGGATAATTTTACTTTACAGAGACACAGCTGCCCTCTCCTCTGTTTGATGGGTACAGTAAGTCCAAGGAGGTGCATTAAACCAGTTTTATTTATTGCCAGACTTGGCAAAAAAAAAGAAAAAAAAAAAGAAAGAAAAAGAAAAGGGTAGAGGACGAGGACAAAACCACCAGGCAAATTTTTTCCAAACATTTTTTGAGACCTCCAACTCACTTTCACTTGTGACGTAAGCCAGGATTTGAACCTGGGTCTCTTGATGGGTAGATTGGCCTAATCCATTTTGTCGTGGTGTCTTTTTCCCATTGTGCCATCTGATGTTCTACTTACTCAAGGCCTCTTGTTCCTATTATTTATCTGTCAAGGAGGATGGACTAGATCATGTCTCCAATTCCTTTTCAGCTCTGTTTTATATGATTCTGTTTTAACTGATTTGATTACCAAATTTTCCTGTCCTCCTGCATTTTAGAAAGAGTTAGGAATGTCATAGATAGAGAATTTGAGAAGAGAAGCCTGCTCAGGGCATGGAAGGGTCCACTAAGGACTGGCCAGACCAAAATTCATGGACTGGGAACTTCATGCAGTTGAGGGCTTTTCTAGCCACAGCAGACGTAAAGCCCATGTGTCTGAGCCACGCTTCAGCACAGGGAGCCTGGGAGGCTGCAGGGAGCTGGGTCCCGTTTATGAAAGTCATGACAGCAGTTCTGACCACTCCAGTGGTCTGCAGAAATACGTAATGGAGTCATGATCTGATACCAATTTTCAACAGTCCCCGTCGCTCCTGAATGAGAGACTTCTTTCCCCAAACTCCCTCCCTGTACGGTTTGCACGCTGCTGAGCGCAGCAGAGCCTTGCTAAGCCACGTTCAGATGAACCCATTGGGTGATAGTGGACTCCATGAATGAGTCCACATGTGGTAAGAGTCTATACAGCATAGACCACACACGTTAGTTTGGCCAGTTCACCTTTCATTTTTTTTATTTCTAGTTTATCCTTTGAGTCACTACAGTAAATACGTTTGCCCAGACACTGCAAACCTAGTTGAAGTGAGACGAGACCTCACCCTATTAGAACTGTTGAAGTTATGGACACCAGCTTATGAAGGTGGGAGGGACTTCAGCTGTGCCATGCAGTGACATTTCAGGTCACTGCAGCTACTGCCAGGGTCAGGAACCACCTCTGCATGCTGGAGGAGCCCTCCCATTACAGTTACTGGGAAATTGCCCTGTGCTGTTGCTGAAGTGTGCGAAGCAAGTGAACTGCCAAGAGCACCGGCTGGCAGCACGGTGCAGAGCAGCAGGGCCTGCAGGCTTGGCCGTGGGGACGGGTAGGGTAGGGAGTTCACTGTTGGAAAGCACAGAGGACCAGAGGATCTACCGTAGCTTTTCCAGACATTGTGGGCGGCCTCTGAGACAGCCCGTCAGTCCTCCGCTTGAATCTTTCAGGGAGGGTGTTTCGGAAGGGAATGCAAATTCCTGGGAAGCACAGAGAGAGCTGGCATAGTGCTTCTGTGGGTGACATTCTGCATGTTGTGGTGACGACCCATGTTCATTCTGCAGGCCTGGTCACCTGTGCCAGAGACTTTAAGGGCTGCATATTGTCTTAAGGAAGAGGAAGATAAGGGTTTGGGGTTTTTGGCAGGGAAGGAAGCCATGACCCTTGTGGTTCAGTCAGGACTGGTGTTCATGGGCTCCCTAAGAGCCAATCTGGGCCACCTCAGCCAGAAGGCATCCAAGAAAAGTATCTGCCTGTTATCCCATCGATGAGTCTGGCCCATTTGCCTCCCAAATGAGGTGTTTGACCTTTCTGCTGTGTTCAGGGTATGCGATGATGTGGTGCAGGAGCATGTTGTCTTGCCTCCTGTGTGTGTGGTTCTGCATCCGGTATTGACCAGTCACCATCCCTGCTTTGTTCTCCACCCAGCAGAAAGTGCTTTCAGCAGGAGAGTGGAAGGCAAAGCGCAAAACAACTTTGAAGAAACCAACAGCAATTCTCAGAACTCCAGCGGTAAGTGTGTTCACTCCCTCCTGCTGTTGCTTACCACGTTCCCCTCCAGAGCAGGATTCAGCTGTGACCAGCGATTGTTTATGTATTTGGGGTACCTCCTTTAAGCTAGCAGGCAGCTAGCCTTCCTGGGGTGGTGCCACCTTCGCCGTCCTCCCCAGGTTCCTGGCACTCCAGAGCCTGTAAAAAATGATGATGTGGGGATCCTGCTCCCAAGATCCGTGTAGTTTAACACAGATGATTCAATGGGGAGCAAAGACGTAGAGAAAGGGGAATATGGACGGAGATGAAGCCGTACTCGCTCTTTGTCTGTGCACGAGTGAAGTCCTTGTGAAGCAAAGCCATTCACAACAAGTAAGAGAAGTTTGAGCCCTATGAGTAGAGCAGCAGTTTGCGTATTGCAGCGATGCTAAATGTGGCAGGTTATTCACCTATCACTGTAACAGCAGTCCAGCTGTTTGGGTTTGCTGCATGGAGGTCACAGCTTATCAAATGTGTAGATGTGGGACCAGGATACACGTGCTAAAAGGAATTCAAATGTACCCCACTTCTGGAGCCCCCTTTGAGTTTTAAGGCCAAGTGGCAGTAACTAAATGTGACCATGGCCTAGACAATTTTGTTTAGGTACACCATTTGCAGTTTTCTGTACAAGATTTTTATCCGGCCAATGCGTCCCCCTGCCTTGAAGTGGGACACTGCCATTGTCTTATGCTCCCTAATTGGAGCATAACAGACAGACCAGATGAAATATTTCGGCATATTGATGCAGAGATAAATAGCACGCCAGCAGAAAAGGCTGGCCTCCCTCCATTTCTCGTTCAAGAGTACCAGAACATGTGGTGTTTGCAATGCTGCTAGCCGGGATGGACAGGTAAGGGAAGGGGTTTCTCCCTGGAGCAGGTTACATAGCATCTGTTGTGGGAGGTTTACGTCTGCCTCTGAAGGAATTAAGGGGCTTTCTGGAACCATGTTGATAAGGAACGAAGTGGTGTTGGAAAACCAACGTGCAATAGCAGATTGGGTGACAGTGAATGGGAAGAATGTTACTTGTTACTAAAATACTGTGCATTATGTTTTGGAGAACACTCCTGTACTAATCTGAGCATTCACCACAATTACAGCTGTTCATTCGGGGACAGAAAAACCTAAAGAAAAGAGATGTAAGCAGAACCCATCAGGTGAGCTTGTCTGTGTTTCAGGCCCTTGTACTCTTCAGTCCTGTTCCACTTGGGTAGCAGCAGTCAGGACTCCTTAGGGGCTGACCGCGTCTCTCTGCCGCCAGCCCAGCCAGGCCATTAGACACGACACAAACCAGTGAAGTTCTCTGACTGCCAAGAGTTACTAGCCTGACTTACTGCTCTGAAAGTGGCCACTTGCCTCTCAGCAGGTCTCCTCCTCGTGTCTTGTCCTCTGTGGGTAGTATGAGTGGTTTGTCTGAAGGCTTTCAGAGCCTTTAAGTGCATGTCTTTAAATGCCAATATACCGTTTGGGTTCCTGGCTCCTCTGGGGCCCTTTGAAAGCAGCAGCCTTACGTTGGTCCTTTATTGTTCCTGTCGAGCCCTGCAGAGCCTACAGAGGAGTGACAGAATTATCCTCCTTCGTATCAAACAGCTCCTCCGCAAAGCCAAGAAAGCTGCAGGAGGGGAAGTGAACTTCTAGTACAGGAGGGGTCCAGCAGCCACTGGCAAGACGCAC